GCCTGCTGACCGATTCGACATAGGGTGCGTACATTGAAGGCTCCAATGTGTGATGTGGAGTGAGGTTTCAGTAGACCTGGAAGTGTTTTGAGCACTGGAATCCTTGGCTATAGTGACACTTGAGGGGGAAGCCGAAAAAAGAAGTTTGGAGTTTTAAGTTGATGTAGGAGGAATAACAGGAATTGAAGAGGGAGGTTGATCATGAATACAGTGGTCTTGAGTGCTGTTAGAGGTATGAGGGCGGTTATCACTTCCTGGTTGCCCACACCGTGGAAGGGTTCTTCTGAAGATGCCCAAGAGACAACTGCTTGAAGTTGGTCACACGCGACCTTTTTAGTGAGTAGTTTTTGTGTTAACCCCGTATTTGTTGAGACCTTACCGCCAGAAACGGATATCCGTGGGATAAGGCGAAGTGTGCATTTTTAGGGTCGACCGTCTTTAACCCCACCCCTCCTTGTGAAAAGGCAGCATCTCTGTTGTGCTGGTTGTCTGAAGGAAACTCCATTCTGCTGTCACACCTCTGTACAGTCAGCAGTACGAGTTTGCCTGCGGACCTAGTGTTTGCTGCTTTTAGTCTTACCGTTCTTCAACCGACCTGTCTGGCATAGTAGGACCTTTAGGAACAATCGTTTCACCTAGTATATTTCGATTGGTTCACCACGATGGGCAAGCCCGATCACCACGTCAAATAGCGACAACGGTCGGGAAAAATGAAAGCCATAACGACGACAGAGACTGATCTTACAAGAGACTTCAGTCAATCATAGGAAAGGACCTCACCATCCTGATAGAAGATCTAAACGCCAAAGTCGGAATGATCAACACCGGATATGAAGATGTAGTGGCACACAGTCCTTAAATCTGAACATGAGACTACTCGGAAAATAGATATTCAGTATTTAACATGGAGAAATAGCTAACGATGGAGAAGGCGGGAAGAAGTATTGAATAAATTGGAATTGATCGTAAAGCATGGCTCAGCCATGCAGGCGTAGTCCCTCTTCCATTCATATTAAATATATTGTTCTTTCTCTAGCCTAACCTTGTTCTACATCATGTATTGGTAACTGATACGATACAGTGAGTTGGTGTAGTCGATGGTGTGACTTCCACGTAAGATCTTATAGATTAGGCAGTTATATCATGACAAATCTACAATTTTAGGATTAGGTCTATTATTAGAGCAGTACTAATATTATAGTAGACCATCATTCTACAAAGATATCATGGGACGATATAGAATAAAAGGAAAGAGAGTAACAAGAGATTTGAAGATTTTCGTTCATTCAACAAAATGATTATAGACGGCACAATACTCCCACACAAACTCATACATAAAGCTACATGGGTATCACTGGATCACACCAAGGAGAACCTAATCGATCAGATTTGCACCACTAAATAATTCAAGTCGACGGAACACGTGAGAACCAGAGTAGGAGTTGACATAGCATTAGACAACCACCAACTGGTGGTTGCCAAGATGAAACTGAAGCGAAATAAGCACTAGAAAACTAGACAAACAGCATTCAATACAGACTTCCTTCCAGATACTGATAAACTCAATCAACTTAAGATAACTCTCGACAACAGATACCAAGCATTACAAGATCTACTCAAAGAAGAAGAGGAAACTACTATGGTGGACAATTAGAAAGGGATCAAAGAAGCATTAACTTCAACGTGTCAGGAGGTTCTGGGCAGCGAGAAGCATCATCATAAGAAATGGATCTCTATCAAAACCCTGAACAAGATTCAAGAAAGGAAGAATAAGAAAAGCAAACAAACAAGATTTAAACTTCGCAGATAACCCGTCTCTTCTTTCCTATACACACGAACAAATGCAGATGAAGACAACTAGTGTGGAAGCGGCCTCTGCATCAAGAAGCTTCAGTATATACAAAGGAAAAGGTAAGATTCTGAAATACAACACGTAGAACACTGACCTAATGGCAAAACTCTGGAAGAGGTAAAAAATTTCACGTACCTGGAAAGCATCATCGATGAACAGGGAGAATATGATGCAGATGTAAATGTAATGATTGGCAAAATAAGGACAGAATTCATACAGTTGAACAGCATATGGAACTCAAAACAACTATCTCAAAGCCAATATCAAATTGGGAATCTTCAATCCGAACGTCAAGGTAGTTCTACGGTACGAAGCTGGCGCAACCTTCATCAAAAATGTACGGATATTTATAAGCGATTGTTTACTCAAGATACTCAGTGTCCGTTGGTTGGATACCATCAGTAACAGCCTACTGTGGGAGAGAACAAACTAGGTTCCAGTTGATGAGGAAATTAGGGAAATTCACTGGAGGTGGATGGAGCATACATTATGGGAACCATCAAACTGCATCACACAGTAAGTGCTAACTTGGAATCCTGAAGGAAAACGGAAAAGAGGAAGACCAAAGAACACATTCAGTCGGGAATTCGAGGCAGACATGAGAAGGATGAATAGTGATTAGAAACAACTGAAAGGGATTTCTCAGGGCAGAGTTGGATGGTGAATGTTAATGGGCGGCCCGTGATCCTCTACGATGGGTAACAGGCGTAAGTTGCCAGAATTAATCGGGCACTTTTATCCCTTAACGTATTAGGGCCGTTTCACACGATGGCCGGAAGCATTAGCCATCAATGATATTATTGTCGAAACATTTACCCTCGCCTTCATCGAACGATGGGTTGAAAACTTCGGCTGCCTCTGAGCTGTCACTGGAGACTGTGGACGCCAGTTTCAATCTGAACGTTTTCGTTGTCTTACTGCACCACTAGGAGTCATGTGATTCCGAGAGACTGCCTACAACACACAAGCTAACGAGTTGACAGAACGATTTCCCGACAGTAAGAGGCTTTTCATAGTGGACTGACCCCCTTACACTGATGTAACATGATGTTTGCTATGCTATAAAAGCAAACACTACGGCTGAACTCGTTTGTTGCACGACACTCCGACTTTCAGAGAATTTGTGGATCCTTCATCTTATTCAATGAATATGGTGTTACGTCCAAGTTTTGCTCGTCCCGTTATTGAAGTACGGTATATCGATCTACTTGCGATTTACGAACCTAAATTAACAATAGAACCAAACTCCAATTTGGGTAACGAAGTTTATTCGCAATTTACAAATAGTCCACCCACATGTCGTTCTAACAATAATTATAACAATTATAGAAACAAACCTTCAATTTTGTAGGTTCCCGGAGCAAACGTTCCCAAATACTAAACCAAAGACAAACCAAAATATCCGAAAATAACGGTATAAACAAACAAGTTCAGAAGTCGAGTAAAACAAATACATCCAGGAACACAGTGAAATTAAGAATATTTAACATAAATGTTTTAATCAGTCAAATATCTTCAGTTCTCCCGTAACGCTATAGGTCTAAATTCTCACGCAAACTGGCTTACAAACTCCATGAGTTTAGTGAAACCTGATATAAATCGACTTACATCATCTGGTGTTTTCATTCAACCTGCTTCCGGATACAGTATACTCGTTTTTGTACGTCGTATTTCATTACGACGACCCCTCGAAACGGCATACGAAGAAACCTTCAGAGTCCTTCGTCGCAAACGTAAATGCTATATAATCAATAAAACGAAAACAACAATAACGTAAGCATTGACTACCTTAAAGCCGCGTACTCAGGAGGGAACCTCAATAATGCTTTTAATCGTATATAATCAATTAACACGAACCTCACAATTACTATGCCTTCCCTAATAACCAACAATCATGACCAAACTTCATCGCTATCCGTAAACCGGCTCACAACAGCGTGCTCTTGGAGAGGGGGGAAGTTTCGAGAATACTTAAACCATTACTGAGGGTGGGATACGGAATGACATTTTGTTTTATCTCGTTTGTTCTTATTGATATAACAATAAAACAAACATTGTTTCTTTATTCACACGTTTTGTATCCTTACTCATGTACGAGTTCATTTCAACATGCATCTAATTTTCTTCTTCCTGAGGAAAGTTGGAAAAGATGGAAAACCGACGAAGAATACGATGAATAGAACTTTTCATTGTACGTTTTTTCATTTCTGTTTTGAACCACATTGAGAAAAGACGACCAGATGCTGCTAAACATAGCGAGCTATCATAAAAGTGTTTAACAACGGCAAGTTCGTTGGATTTCAACTTTTGACTGGCTACAACTTACGGTCATCACTACTCCACTAAGGGCGGCGTGGGCTGTAGTGGTGAATAAATCACCAAAGTGAATAGTTCTGTTAGTCTTCGACATTGATTCTGACTTCATAATTTTTCTGGACAAACCTTTGCTGCAGGTGTTCGGTCACCCATCCGCACCAGATCACGAGTGGGTACCTCGTGCTACACATCCATTGCAACTGTTAGTCAGCTTAGACCAAGCGCTCCTCGATATATAGACATCTTGTCAAATAGATGTTTGAACCCCTCTATTTCTGACTCCTAATTTAACTGGGTAGGTATCCTTCGATTACAAAGATGTTGTGCGTTAATTGATTGTCTAACTCTGAATACCTGTGGTATGTTCATGTTAGACTGAGATCAAATATTAGGCAGAGGGTGACAATAAGCCGTCAAAACTGAAAGTTTGAAAAAGGTGACTTGACTCTGTGTAAGTTTTCATGGAGGATATTTACGCCACTTGCCACAGATACACACTAATAACTCCTAGTGCTTCAAGTTACGAAATTTCGCTAGAAGTATAAGAAACAGTGTCAAATATGACCTTAAGACAAAGTGCAAAGTCTGCCAAAAATTCAGCGAGTTTCTTTACATTGCAATGTTGGTTGAAGATCATACTTAACTGTTTAAGCCAACAATATACTGATGACTGATTTAAGCTGACTTCTTCATAAGACATAACAATATCAACTGTTTAGATAATCTCCAGACTATAGAACATAAGTCTTTGGTTAAAGTCACTCCATAATCAACATAACCTGTTTCGAACTTATTTTTGGTTTAAACCAACGTGCGTGTTGTTTAAATTCATACTTTCCTCAGTAGTTAGGCTGGGTTGAATTCCTTGGGGTTGTTTGGATACCTAGTTATTATGAGCAAAATTCCCAGAAAAGGTGAGGGTTTAAGAGATCATGTGAAGTGTTTTTATGTATAAATATATTTTTAAGACTTCGTGTACATGTACTCACATTCTACCTGATCTTTCTTTTAGTCGTCGCCCTACAGAGCAAGAAGAAAAACAAACAAATTAAGAAAAATGCCCCGAAAGACAAATCTATTGGAAACAAATGGTAAGTTTTGTCCCTGTTTTTGCGATTTTACTGGGTGGTTTTACTATCGGCATTTTGGGACGTCGTGGAACTACGATAACATGTCCTGAATAAAAAAACCCTCATTTTGTTAACAATACAAGATGCACAGTATCAGATGACTTATTCTACTGTGTTTAATGCGTTTTCTTTTGTAGTAACGGTGCCGTAGAAGACCGACTTCAACCACAGGACGACTCCACGCCTAAAAATGAACAAGAGCCAACATATTGTGAGTACTCACGAGATGAGGAAGTTTTAGAGGAGGAAGAAATTCTCGGCAGTGATGACGATGAGCAAGAAGACCCTCGGGATTACTGTATAGGTTGGTACTCTGTTTAATTAAGTTAATACAATCTAGGTGGATATCATCCAGTTAAGATCGGGCAGGTATACAATTCACGTTACCACGTCGTCCGTAAGCTTGGTTGGGGTCACTTTTCCACTGTGTGGTTATGCTGGGATTTATGGTTAGCTCAATATTACATTGTACTAACATCTATAGTTCAAAGCGTTTCGTTGCAATGAAAGTAGTCAAGAGTGCTCCGCACTACACAGAAACAGCTCTTGATGAAATAAAGCTGCTATCATGCGTAAGTTCACGGTAAAAAGATAATTTGGTTAGGTCCGCGAATCTGCCCCAGATGACCCGTTCCGGAAAAAAACAGTTCAGTTGCTAGATGATTTCAGAGTGTCTGGTGTAAATGGGAACCGTATCCTTTTATCTTATTGCTCATTTACTCGTACACATCGGGTTTCCTAATAACGGCATACATTTTCACCATCTTTATTATGTGTAGGAAGACACCCTAACCATACACGGTCATACCCTTAGATGTTGAAACTGGGTCCATCCAGTGACTCGTTACAATCTGCCAATGTATGGGATGCTGTGCGTAAAATCACCATGGTACCAATCAGCAGTAAGGTCTTGGCAGTTTTTGAGAATATCTGGCTCATCGCATACCTTCTGCAATATGTGCCTCCATCTCGCGTTGGCAAACCACTTGCCATAAGATCTCCATTCATTTTGCCAATTATATAAATCTTATGCACAGATTTCACAATGAAGCGCACTGATAAATTCCAACACTTCACAATCCTGGGTTCTCAGTAGTCCATGCATTTGGTTTGTATTTTAATTGCCACTTGTCGATAGGAAGTTAAATTCAAGCTACTTTGTATCAGCATATAGGAATTATCGTGTAATAATTATTTCTAAGTACATGCTAACAATCACTATGCTTAAGCTCTTATGCTTTGTTTTTCTAATATGAGGTCTTCATGCTATGGATTTCTTAACCATTACTTAGATGTTTGTATGATCTTTGAGGTTCTTGGCCATAATTTGTTGAAGCTAATAATCAGGTCTCAGTACCGAGGCATTCCACTCGAAAATGTTCGTTCTATTATTAAACAAGTAAGTATAGATTATCTTATTTCTCCCTAATGTTCGTGGCTTCTAGGTTGCCATCTGTGTCGTTTTCACGGTTTTGTTTTTAATGTGTTTTTCTATTATTGATGCTCAAGCGAAATTAGCTCAGGCTATGCCGTTACATATATAAGTAACTAGTCAATACACGCACTTCGTTTCAAGCATCCCAGAAAGTTACACAACCGGTTAACTGGATTGTCAGTATAGCAAGTATTATTTTGCAAATGACTTTCTTGGAAATTCACAGATTTCATTAAGAAATATTAACCATGGTAACGCTAGAGCAACGTAGTGGCTGTATTAAATAACTGATTAGAAAGATGCGTGAATTAACTGCTGGTTACTTGAACCATGAGACTTATTTATTTGAGAAGTCAGAGTACTTCGGCACGTTTGATAAGCTAAGCGTATAATCATCAAGAGACTAAATCTGAGTGATATTCGGAATTTTCCTCATAGATAATCCTTGATAGAAAGTAGACATTTGTTGTTTTCAGCGTTCATTTTTTGAGGACCAGGTGTACTGAAACTGGTTTTAATAATTCTCAGTATTTTGTGAAACAATTGTATCATTGATGCAGGACGTGAAATAAGCCCTACTCGCAGCATCAGTAAAAGGCCACTAAGCGTAAGCTTACGAAGCGTTTGTGCTTCCCTGTAGCTTGTGACAATCACTAAGTTTATGATCCTAAGTTAGGAGATTGCAGTAACAGTCCTCGCTCCCGAAGTATCAATACCATGTAAGCTGTACTGAGCGAGTCAAGCAGTTCGTCATGTGAATTTTCATCTTTCATTAATGTATGCAGTTATATGATAATTGCTCTCAAAAGGCAGTATTAGGTGAGGTTTAGGAACATTTGTGGAACTTTTGTTTATTCATCTGAACACAAATATTGGTACAAATAAAAATAAATATGCGCCACATAAATAAATGAAATTGTGACGTGAGAGTGAATATGATCGTGAAACAAATGAGTAAAAATAAGCAAACGAGGATGTATCATAGGGAAACAGTTCATTTAGGAAAATTACAATACAAAGTCCTAGTTATAGCAAGGCCGCCACTTGCTCCTGTCCTAAGCTGTCTGATAATCACTAAGTTGCATTGTCTATCGGACCCCAACCAGAGAGTCGTGATGGACCGAACACCATGGACCCCAACACCATATCATACAGTGAACAACCCAGCTTTTTCCAACCATTTTTGATATTGGCAAATAAAGCACGGTATTTTATGTTTGGTCATGATGTGTCCCGACCGTTGTTGCTACCTTGACGTGGTGGTCGGGCTTGCCTATCGTGATGAAGCGACCGAGCTATACTGACTGGAACAGCTGTTCCTCAAGGTCCTACCACGTCAGAAAGGTCGGTTGAAGAGCGGTAAGACTAAAAGCAACAAACCCAAGGTCCGAAGGCGAAGTCGTACTGCTGACTGTACAGAGGTGTGACGGCAGTAAGGTGTTTCCTTCAGACAACCAGCATGACAGCGATGCTGCCTTCCCACAAGGACGGGGGTTAGAAAAGGTGGACCCTAAAAACACACACCTCCCACGAATATCCGTCTCCGGCGGTAGGGTCTCAACATGTACGAAGCTAACACAAAAACTACTCACTAAAAAGGTCAGTTGTCCCTTGGCCACTGCAGTCACGCTCCCAGGTCACTACGACTACCTCTAAACCAATTTCCTTTTCAGGTACCTCCAGAAAAACCCTTCCACGGTGTGGGCAACCGGGAAGTGATAACCGCCCTCATACCTCTAACAGCACTCAAGACCACTGTATTCATGATCAACCTCCCTCTTCAATTCCTGTTATTCCTCCTACATCAACTTAAAACTCCAAACTTCTTTTTTCGGCTTCCCCCTCAAGTGTCACTATAGCCAAGGATTCCAGTGCTCAAAACACTTCCAGGTCTACTGAAACCTCACTCCACATCACACATTGGAGCCTTCAATGTACGCACCCTATGTCGAATCGGTCAGCAGGCTTCCTTGGCTAAAATCCTAGAATCTCGTACCATTGATGTATGCTGTGTTTCCGAAACACGCATACAGGATCCCAGTGTGGTCATTCACTTGACCTCATCTCGGTAAAACGGAAAGCCAACGAGATACACCCTACGTGTGTCTGGCGACCCGGTGTCTAGTTCCCGTGGACTGATAGGTGTAGGCATAGCACTAAGCATGAGGGCGGAACAAGCACTGTTAGAATGGATCCCCGTCAACAGTCGACTATGTGCTGTTCGGCTAAACGGCTCAGTAAGAACTCAGAAAGATAGGGACACACGTCGTTGCATTTTCGACGTTTCTGCCTACGCTCCCACCGACTGCAGCTCAGATGAAGTGAAAGATGAATTTTACAGAAAGCTATCTGAACTTCTTCAGAAAGCTAAACGTTCAGACATAGTACTCGTAGCAGGTGACTTTAATGCCCAGATAGGTAGTTTAAACCAAACAGAAAGATATTTGGGTGGGTATTTTAGTATACCGGCACAACGAACAGATAATGGTGGTCGTCTGCTGCAACTATGCTCAGACAATCGTTTATTTTTAGCAAACACAAATTTTAAGCATAAGGAAAGACATCGTCTAACATGGCGACCTCCTACACCAAACCAACGATGGACTCAAATAGACCATATTGCCATCAGTCATCGTTGGAGAGGGTCGGTAGAAGATTGTCTCTCATTCTGGAGTACCTGCTTGGACTCCGTTCGCGCCCTAATACGGGCACGCATCTGCTTGCGCCTCAATGGACGCAAAAAAGCCACATTAAAAAGACCAATTAAAACTGAGTTGAGTAACGAGAAAACTAAAAGTAGATTCCATGAACAACTGAAGTCACATTTACGTAGTTCTGAAAACGAGGCTGTTGCTTGGAAAGATATACAAACAGCTGCGGAAACAGCAGTGACATCTATTAGTGATTTAAACCAAATAGTTACAAAGAACCAATGGATTTCTTTCAAGTGTAGTGCACTGATGGATTCTTGTAAACTCATCCAATCGGGCTCTGAACAAGATAAAGAGCGAAAACAAATCAGATCTAGGTTAAGCAAAAGTCTAAGAAACGACCGTGAGCAGTGGTGGGCAACGAAAGCAAAAGAGATGGAAAAGGCGGCAACTATAGGGAACACAAGACAGCTTTATAGACTAATAAAAGAAACTGGAACTAATAAGTCAAGTGTAAATGAGATTATTTCGGAAAAGGACGATACTCTCATCTACTCCCAGTCCAGACGTTTAAAACGATGGGCGGAACACTTTAGAGAACAGTTCAGCTGGCCTTCAGCGACTCTACAACTACCCTCCATCCCCAAACAGTGTGAATGGAACATTGAAGTAGGTCCCCCAACTCTAGCAGAAGTTCAAAAGGCTATAGTTAATCTGAAACGAGGAAGGGCAGCTGGTCCAGATGGATTGACTCCAGAGGTCTTTAAGGATGGTGGTCCAGTTTTAGCGATCAGGTTGACTAATATTTTAGCTAAGATCTGGGAGTTAGACGTTATTCCATCTGACTGGTCATAGTCACTGATCGTCCCAATATATAAGAGAAGGTCAAAATCATCTTGTGACAACCACAGAGGGATTAGTTTAACTAATATAGTATCTAAAATACTAGCCTCGATAATTATCAGACGCCTAACTAAGACTCGTGAACTGCAAACACGAGAGAACCAAGCTGGCTTCAGACCTGGTCGTGGCTGCATCGACCACATATTCACCATTCGTCAGGTTCTAGAACACAGGCATACTTATCGACGTCCGACAATGGTGGTCTTTCTTGACTTAAATGCAGCATTTGACTCGGTAGTAATAGTGAGGTTGGACTTAGGGTATTAGGTAATGATGGTAAATAAGTTGTTGAGGTTGTGAATCTTTATGGACTGAGATGGTTGGGCCACGTGTTACGTATGACTGAACACCGATTACCACGTCGTGCAATGCTAACCGGTGTTAGAGATGGTTGGAAGAGAATTAGGGGTGGCCAAACCAAAACGTGGCATCAGTACTTGAAGACACTAACCTCTAGTCTGAGCCATGTTGGTAGATGCAGACTACTTGGTTGGGGTCCGCGTAACTATCGTAACCGATGGTTGGAGACTCTTGGTGACATGGCTCAGAATCGATCACAATGGTGCCGGTGCATACACTCCCTATCTTCCCTTAAACTAAGAGATTAAAATCACTTCATATCTTTCTTTCTACTAACTAATTCTTTCTTCCTGTACTGTATCCTTATATGCAGTCTTTCTCCTATATATTAGCACCTTTGACCTAACCACTCCTATGAATCCGATGTTCATCTTGCTGTGCTAATGAGGTATGGCAATCTGGACCGATGCATTTATGTGCCTGGTCCTACGTTGTAGCTGACTGTCATGATGTGTAAAGTCACTAAAGCCTAATCATCGTGGGATTCTCAGTGTCGTCGTTATCTAAACTGTTAGCCCATTAAAACGTATTATTCTTTTATGGTCGAAAAAATATATATTGTTTTAGGTCTTTAATAATAAAGTAACTAATACTTTGTTTAATAAATGATTATCTTGTCTTTAGACCCTTCAAGGACTTCATTACTTGCACACAAAGTGTCACATTATTCATACGGATATCAAACCGGAAAACATTTTAGTTTGTATTTCTGATTCTCAAATCCGTAGAATGGCAGCGGAGGCCCTCGATGCTCAAAGACGAGGTGTACAGTTGTCAGGTTCCGCAGGTGAGATTTGCTAGTAACAATTTATTAATTGATTAGAAAATGGAGCTTAACTGTATATATGTACTCAATAATCTAGCGAGTCAATTTATCATATTCAGTAGTATCTTAAATCTTCTGGTGGATTAAACTACAGCTCTTAACGGGGTTGTAATACTACGATTCATAAGTTTCAATACCTGACTTTTCACTATCGGTAACACATCTAGTTCATGTTTTAATTATGTATATTCAAATACGCGATTGATATAATCGTTTCAAAGCCATATACACAAGCCTGTATTTAATTACTAGACCGTAACATATTGAAATGGGGAGAATTGAATCTTAAGATAAGTCATTTTGTAGTATACACTAACTACCAAATGTTTCATAAAGATATTCTAGTTTTTCATGATTCGCATAATTAAGTTTTATTTTCTCACAGATTCACTAGATTGTGATAGCATTAATTATTAAACATTTTGTTTAAGCCGTTATTGTTTGTTGCTTATAATCACTAACAATGAGTCCATTAACGTAGATATTGTGTATGTTTATCAATCATTAACTCACACAATACTCATCCGTCCCCAATCTACTAACCATAACTCCGGGATGGTCGCTTGTATTTTATATTACTGAAACCTCAAAAGTCACGTGATTGTATTGTGCTGATGCGGTATGGCAACCTGGACCGATGCACATATGTGTCTGGTCCTACGTTGTTGCTGACTGACTGACTGACGTGATTGTATACGTAAAGTATGATACCATAAGTCACCATAACCAATAGATTTCAATATACATATAACTGAAGTATGGTTAGCATAAATCTAAGTAACTGCTTTATAGTTAATTCACCAATTTATGAATGATACGAGATGTAATAGTTAGTGAGCCAAATAGTTTAAAATTAGGATTTTATACAAACACCGTAAACCATTTATTTAGTAAATGTCATTGAGATGTAGACTAAGTCCTCAGTGAATAACTCAGTTTTATGATTCAGATTTGATAACAGTAGTGCAAGTGCATTCATTATTTATCGTTCCTTGAATTCATCTCCGAGTAGCATCATCCATTGTCTTGTCTTTCTCATTGTCATTATATTGACTTTTCCTTTTGTTAACTTGGTCTCGTGGTGTCAACTTGGTATTGCATCTAACTCATACTTGTACTAGGCTCCATGGATGATATGGTTATCCTCACAACCCTAAAGTACTGTTTGCTAACTATTCCTCAAATGAACTTATACACTCTTCACACTTTATTGAAAACCGGTCACTTAAGTAGATCTTAGGGGTGATTTTATCCAGGGTTCTCAAGTTTGTGTTCACTTACTGATTTTCTCTGTGGCACTGTAGAACTCTTGCGTTGTAATTTTAATTCATTATAGCGTAAACTTTCAAGTCACGAGTTAATTTCGTTTTATCTATACTCTTGCTGTCCTAACTTATGACTATTCTAATCGTTCCAAAAATTTGCGCATTTCGCTGAATATTTAAATGCTGACATAATGAGTAACTCATTTATTGACACCTACAACTGTTCAAGCTGTTCGATCATCGTTGTCTCCGAAGGGTTGCTGACATCCAGTGGCAACACTATGTTAGTAATGCAGAGGTTCGGCATCGTGTGTTCGGGCACAGGCGATAATGCAATTGGTGTCACCATCTTGAAACACTGACTTCGGTGGCATGGACATGTTCTACGAATGTCGTCCCAGAGAATTCCATGTCGTGCATTATTTGCCGCCGCTGGGACTGGTTGGGAGAAGCGGAGAGGTGGTCAGTCTATGACATCGTGTCGTGGCATGAAAGAAAGCTGCAAAGGGCTGGCTTCTATTGGTCCTCCACGACTCCCTGGTTGGGGTCTGAGAGATGGTGCGACACAGTGGCTAGAAACGTTATCAGATATGGCTCATAATAGAAGCCAATGGCGATCCTGCTGTAACGTTCTTTTACTTTCTTCATAAAAATGGTTGCTTCTTTCTTAACTGAAAGATTTCTGATTGCACCTTTTCTTTTCCCCAATTATTATTATTATTATTATTATTATTATTATTATTATTATTATTATTATTATTATTATTATTATTATTATTATTATTATTATTATTATTATTATTATTATTATTATTATTATTATTATTATTATTATTATTATTATTATTATTATTATTATTATTATTATTATTATTATTATTATTATTATTATTATTATTATTATTATTATTATTATTATTATTATTATTATTATTATTATTATTATTATTATTATTATTATTATTATTATTATTATTATTATTATTATTATTATTATTATTATTATTATTATTATTATTATTATTATTATTATTATTATTATTATTATTATTATTATTATTATTATTATTATTATTATTATTATTATTATTATTATTATTATTATTATTATTATTATTATTATTATTATTATTATTATTATTATTATTATTATTATTATTATTATTATTATTATTATTATTATTATTATTATTATTATTATTATTATTATTATTATTATTATTATTATTATTATTATTATTATTATTATTATTATTATTATTATTATTATTATTATTACACTTCCTTACACTAATCTGTACGTTATTGTTCTTTTTCTTTTTTTACGTTCCCTACCTTTTCCTTACTCTTCAAATCCTCATTGTTTTGTGTGGTGCATATGTATTTGGTGCCCTCTTGTACCAATATTTATGTGTTCAAATAAATAAATAAATAATTTTTTAGTTACATCGGACTTATTCATTGGTAAGTCACTGCTAAACATCAGCGAAATCTATGTAGGGTTTTGCACATTTTTTTAGTCTGCTACCCAAGTTTCTCAATTATAATGTGGAGCAATTAGGTGGTTAAGACATCCAAGTTTCCGCACTAGATCTCAGGTTCGAACCTTCTCTGTTCACTTCAGTCTGGGCACCCGAATATTATCATTATTCATCACAGATAAAGTGTAACAAGTCGAGTACATGAATCTACTTAATAAATTAAACAAATCCATGAATCTCTAATTGATTGATGATTGAGTTATAACCAATGCCATGTACGTCAATTTTTTTAGTGCTGATCGAATTATATTAATCAAGTTCATAAATTTTATAGATAGGATAATAAACACCCTTAGTATGTTTTAACATATGCTCTTCAAATACTGTTGGACTCCTATCCATTTTCTTATACAGTGAGCACTGCACCCAAAGAAAAACAAGATAACACGAAGATGACAAAAAGTCGCAAGCGCCGTCTAAAAAAGCAACAACGAAAACAACAAGCACTTTTAGAACAGGAACTTGATGAATTAGAGGAATTGGAATCACAGGAGCATGAACGTCGTTTGTTGGATATGGGACTGATTCCTGCTGACAATGAACAGAACCATGAAAAGCCAGAACAAGTAGATGAAAAGCCTAAAAGGGACTCAGAAGTATCCCCAGAACAGTCATACTCGAATGAGGCTAATACTACTCCCCCAACAGCAGACTCATACAATGCCAGTCCAAGCAAAGATTGTCATCCTACTACAAATAACACTGGTAAGTTACTGTTTTATTCATTCTATCTGTGAAAGACAACTAAGTTTCAGTCGTTTCATAATTGTCGAAGAAATTACTTACGGCTAGATTTTAGATTTGTAAAGACTTCATGATAGTGACTTGCTCTATGGCCGTCTTAATAGATTCTTAGTGTATCATTTTAAGCTTTCAGTTGGTTCCTTCTATGTATGGTGTAAATCAGGTGTTACGTAGTAGACCAGTTTGAAAGCTGATTTACATGTGTTTAATAACCATAAATTCATTTTTTAAATAATTGAAGATTAAGGGTCTCTTGTGTAACTGCTGAGATCAATGTCTCCACCAGTAAAAACAGTGAAAATAACAATAGGTGGACCGAACTGAAGTAAGACTAATGTCCTGGTTTTTAAATCGATAGATACCATCAAATTTAATTTTGGAAACAACTGGCCATTGAAGTGAGCACTGATGGAGGAAACTTTTAGTCGCGACTACTTCATTTTAATTACTAATTGCTGTTAGCAAGTTAACTCATTTGTTTGTTTTATTTTTCACTCAATTTCCTGATGTAAAGCTTAGCAACCTATACCTAACACAATGTTCCTTTATACCAATGTACTGTTTAAGTCGGGTTCGTTTTAGATTTTAGTACTGTGTTGTTCTAAAGTAAAACCCAAGTATTAGTCATCGGAAATTTCACGAAGTTTAGTCCGGATTAATCTATTTATCTTCAAGTCTAGGATCGGTTCTAACCATTGATCGACTGTTTACTTTTAGCTTTATGACAACGACAAAATTCATATTTAAGAGCTAATTGTTAGCCATCACAGTTTAATTAATTAATCTGGCAATAAACGATCTCATTGATGTCTTATTTGTTTGTCTGTATATAATTTTTTCAATGAAAAGTAATGTTTGAAATGTCTACGTTAAAACTATTGTGTTCATAGGTTTTTGTATATTTTGTGATGTATCAGTCATCATATAGATTGTTAATAATCTATCCCAACTTTTGAGTCATCTTAAAATTGGTTAAACTGCTGGTATCATAAATTTACTTTCAATTTTTCGGAGGCTGTCACGTTAAAAATAAGTTGAATAATTAAATTTATATCTCCTGACAAGTGGCTCCTCTCACAAATCAGTTCTATGACTTAACTGTTCAGTTTTTCCTTGCCTCGACGATATCTAACAGTTAGTAATGCTGTAATATCTAAGTCCCAATATTCGTTCTGTCCTATCCAGCTGAAGTATTATTTTGCAATCAAACTTAATGGTTTGCATATCCAACCGAATCCAGCAATATAATCCGGTCTAAGAACAGCCATCGTGGTTCACCTTACACCAAAGATCTCTGATATTTCATTAACTGGTTTAGACCATTCATCTAAACTATTTGACGATTTCACCTCATCAGTAGTTTGAGCAGTTCAACTTCGAAAGTTCTTGTTATCTATTGTTAGTTTGGATGTGTAATCAGTTTTCCAACTGTTTTACCGTTATTGGTGGTTTTTGTTATTTCTTTAATCGACAATTTAGTGTACATGCATTACGTGCAAATAATTTATTCTTTATGATGCCCACCTATTGCCCATTTTACTGGATCAACTGTACTTAAAACTTGTTCGCAAGGCTTGTTACTGTGAACACTCATACTACAGGAATCAAAAATACGTTCATTTTCATAAAGTAGCTGGCACTCATATGGTGCTGAAATATGCAACGCGAGGTAAAAAAAATTAGTTTTCGACCTCCTTTAATTCCACATAAACCAACGAAATCACGTAAACTCAAGTCCCATGACAGAACTAACATTCCCAAAATCAAGTGTTCAAACAAGATCGAAATTCTTATTATCAGCCTTTTTCAAAATAACATTCGAATCACTTCACACCTCGTCTTATTTCAGTCATAGAAAAACTCAAAAATCCCATTAAAAGGAACTAGTAATAAAAAGATTCAACAAGTATATTGAGGCATATTTAATAAGAACATTTTCTCTATCACCGAAACTTCTTGTCAATAACTCAGATTGCTTAACCCTTGATCAGACCACTTACTAAGACTCCATCATCATGTCTACAATGCAGCCGCCTAGCATACAAGTAAAATACAGACCACCTAGTCATCTGGTTAAGTGGATATTTAATTACGGAATATAAATCCCCGGTAATTGATTGGATAGTAATATTCAAATTTTTAGTGCATAGCTTCATCGTCTCTTACAGATCTGTAGGTCGTGACCGTAAAACAGCAACGTCAAGACTTGCTTGCTTAGATTGGGGATGAAGATTGCAGCTATATCACTAAAAAGTTCATTAAAAGAAATAAGTCTAACAGGTACTTTAACAGAACAACGACTTACAGTAAGAAATACTACTTGATCGTCTATGTAACCCATTAGAGATGATAGGAAGCTCCCTTATTCTGTAACAATTTACTTCCATGATATAATGATAAGCAATATGTGTTTCCAAATCTGTTCGTCGCAATGTTCGTATAGCAACTACCCTCAGGTGTTCCAAGAAATCGATTTTTTTCTCCTGATAAGCTTCCTATTCCCGTTCGTAGAAAAAGCATAAAAACCCTTTCTTTCTTTGTTTTCGCCTGTTCTGGTAGTTGGTGCAGTGTTTATGGATACTGCGCGTGCTGTTGTCTCGGTGTTAGGCTACGCAACCTCCATCCCATTCAAGGCTTGCAGCAGTATTTTGGAGGACAAGACAGCTCCCATTAATAACCCTCCTAAGATATCGTCCACTCAAAACGACGAGCAAAATCTTTCATGGTTAGGCAATCAGAATGATGTCCCAGGTTCCATCAGTTATGGAGACCCCAAAATTAAGATTCCTAGCCCACTTCAACCTGGACAAAAGCGTACAGCTTCCATTTCTGTCGACTTCACTCCATCTGAGTCTTCAACTGTCTCCCATGCAGATGTTTGCAGTTCTCCGCCATATCGCTCATTTGTCCACCTTGCTTTCTCTCCTCTGGCTGATCGACTAGTCCGGAAGTTATCCTGGCCATTTATCTTCAGTGAGTATTTTATTCCACATGTACATCAATGCATCATCTGCTTGCTTCACAGTTGATGATCCGATTCCGATTAGTTGTTTTATGTTACCCTGGTAAACTGCGAATGCAACTCGTGATATCGCTTCAACAGTTCTCCTAGGTCAGTTTTTCTAAGCACGCACAACAATACCAAAGGACTTGACGATAAGGTGTTTTAGTTCATATTTCAATACTATCTACACACAGAATATAACGATAAAATGGAAATCAAAGTGAAGTTATTGAGAAACTACAGAGGACTAAATGTTAATAAGAAAATCCAAATAGGGAATTCAAAACAAAGTGATTCGATATTCAAGATTTAGCAAAATGAAGATGCAACTGCTCTACTTTAACTGATCCCTAGTCAAAATTTGAGTTTTCTCCTAACAGATTCGGAAACTTCATTTAATCAACACTGATAACATCAGTTGGTAAATCTGTAATACGTTACTAATGTGCAATACGTGTAAATGAATACGATTAACAACTTCGATCACAAGAAGTATCGACCGGTCACACTACACACCATACTTTTTAATTCTCACTATTATTTCCACAATATAGTGCTTCTCATGCGGATTAGACTATTCAGTTTTTCCACTCAATTTGGTGCTTTGTACTTGTTTATGAAAAGTGAATACCTCACTCTTTTAAAAATTTTAAATCTGTCGAAACATTGTCCATTTTGATCCTCAACAGTTCATCCAAGTTTGTTAATCACGACACTCAAAAAACTTTTATTCTTCAAAATTACTCCTGTTGTGAGGTTATTCATCTGATTTTAGTTGCCTATCATTCTTACATATTGATAGCTTTCGTTCTTATGATGGTTATTTTCAGTGCCATCCATTGCCCATTTTTGAGACGTTTTATGTTCTAAGCATTACAGCTCTGATATTATTGGTCAGATTGTCGTTTTGATGTTCAGAACATTCCTTCGCTAACCAAATATTAGTTAACTCTTACGGTCAGCATACTAAAAGCTAACGAACTGTCTCTGGTTGATTATCAATACAGTCGTGTTTTAGGGTTTTTGTAACCTTATCGTTTTCCCAGCAACCAGTAATATTTAGTTATATGTCTGTATTGAGGTTTTCTCTAATACTTCCTTTATACAATAATACTCGTTAAATTTTAAAATTAATGCTTTGTCTCTTTTTGCACATAATTACGTCAACTTCCCATGTTTTATTTTAAAATCCTAATTTTGTACTTTTTTTGCTTTGATTAGGGTCACCCGACGTCTCTACAAATCCACCGTGTAAAAATGACACAGAAGAGTCAAAAGATCATACTAAGCATAAACAGAATAAGGGTCCAACTGACTTGTCGGAAGAAAGTGATCAAGTAAGTCTTATAATATTCCTTATCAATTGTGGTATAATCTTCACTCTATCAGATAAACAAAACATTCATCTCTGTAGCTTGTGATGCAATTTTTGAATATATATCAAAACTAATCACACTAAATGTCAAAAGTGCCTCAGTAATGCCTGTTACTAAATCACTGAATATCCAATTTTCTAATTTTTAATAAGCGGTCATATTTCAAACATTCTCCTACTAAACTGGTATCAAAAGTCATGTCACAGTCTTATTTGCAACTGATTAGTACAGCAGTGTGCCAAATTTTGAATCATATCATAGGATTTCCGTAATTAACTCATGGACCTAAAACCAGGTCATATCTTACAATTAAAACTACAATCCTTGTCACAGATGGTTGTAATACGTGGATACATGTAGCTTGTCATGATTATTATTCACCACAAGGCAACCACGTCTACTCAAATCTTTTCATTCGCTTTGAAACTGAACGAAAATTGTGTTAAGCTAATGCTTAATGTCTTAAATTTAATCTATTTGTTCTCTGAAGAAGTGGCTTACCACTGAGTCACGAAACGTCGGAAAATCTGATTTTTCTTCTACTCATTTGGGATATTACAAATATGATAACTTATTTATAATGCCCTCAGTGGTTTCGAATTTGTGTATTCAAGTTTATATCTATTTAAGAAATCAATGACCCATGTGTTGATCCCCGTGGTAGATGAGAGAAACTAAGATCACGTCTCAGGTTAGACAAATAAAGCTAGTCTCACACAACAGTCACCCATAGAATTATATATAGAGTTATACAAGATCTATCAGTCATTTTTGTTGTCTCCTGATGAAATCTATATTTTATCTTCTGAACTATCCATCCAACCGTCTATATCTTTGTGTACTTTTAATTTACATACAATCGATTATTCGGCTACAGTTTATAAGAAAAATGCGTCCTTGCATCTGAGGTCGAAACGTTAAATAGCTAAAAAACACTTTAACTAAATACCAGTTCCTTTTTAGAAAATCTAAACGATATGGACTTTAAACAGTAAAGTATTAACTGGGGACCAAATACAGTAATTGTCTTATGTTGTAAATCTATAATTTTATATACTCATTCAACTTACAACGTAGAGTTAATCATTTAACTATTGAGTAGTCAAAAAACTTGGATTTCTTTCTCTGCTCTTAATGCAGTACCTATTACTTACAACTTATTTTCAGATCGAGGTATTGCTCTATTTTGTGAAATCATTAATTTATTTATTTGTGTTGCATAGTGAATTTCGGAATTTTCGTTTGATCTGCGAAATATTTAACTGGATATTGTATGATATTGCCTTAAATATTCGATTTACGCACATATTCTTTAACATCCTGATAGCTTTGAAGTGTCATCCCTTTAGCTTCCCATTATAATAATAGTAGTAATCATTATTATTTCCACTTCTTTGCTTTTATCCTCGACTTATTAATACGAAGTCCGGGATTTTAGTTTAATGCTGCACCTAGTTCAGACGTTTTTTATCTAACCATTAATCCATAGACGTCCAAAAAACGTGCTAATTAAATAAAGTTAAGCGAATAAATAAATAAAAATTTTGAGCTCACAAAACTTTAGTGTGCTTCAGATTAGTCAGGCATTCTGTTCTATTTGGCGTATGATTTGTTGATTGAATGCTTCAACATACGGTTAGAAATCGTATTTAGAAAATGCTTCCACTTGATCCATAAGTATTGAAGGTGTAGGCTGTGGAGATTTTTAGCGTTAGTGTTGACAAGGATAGACTATGATGAAGGAAAAAGATAGTCCATTGTAACATGTTTCTGAATTATTGTGACTGGTCACACTTGCTTTTTTTCATTTTTATAATTATTTTCAAATTGGTTTTCATTTAGTTTATACAAGAAGACAACGAAAGTGGAGTGGCTGTTCGTCGTCGAGTTAAAAAGCTTCCAGATCATTCTGGTGCTGCCGATGATAAGGCTGATATTCCACTGGCTCCTGTGACTGAACCACAGAAAACGTCAACTACTGGTGATCGTAGGTCCGTAATCATTCAACCAGATGGGCTTTTGGCAGCAGCTGCAGCATCAGTGATGTCTAGTACTTCTCATTCTCCTCCGGAGTCCTCAGCAAAAGATGATCAAGGTCAGGTCAAATCGAATTTCACGAACTCGAGGTCAAACGGAACTGAAGGAAATGAAAGGAAACTTAATTCGGAGTCCAAATCAAGTCTGACAGTAAACAGTACTGGTGAAGGTAGTTCCAAACGGTTAAGTTTGGTTACACCATCTAATAACAATGCAGTTTCTGGTCAAAGTGCTTCAAACAAACGTCGATCACTGCTTTTCGAAACTGTGATACATGAACCTGATGCTAGTAAAGAGGTGAATTTTCTTAGCAATCTTTCTTCCTCAAGGAAATTGGTTGTAACTGAAGATTTAGTATTTATAATACTGGAATATCCACATTTAAAGAGCAGATGTTTTGAAAAAATTCTAAACAAAATAGATTGTTTTAGCACTTGAAATTTGATACAATAGGTTTGTTTAAAAAATTCATTACGACAGTCAAAATATACTAGGACCCAAAACAATTTTATTACATTAAAATAAACTGATCTAAGTTAGACAATCATCAGTTAGGTACTCACAACGTAGAACCTAGTACGTTTATGCATCGGTTCAAGTTGTTATGCCCCACTAGCAGAAAGGGATGGAACTGCCAGGCCAAATTCCAGGATGGTGAAGAAAGTAAAAGTATCAGTGATAATACAGAAGATTAGAAATCGGAGATACTATTCGAAAAGGAATTATAAATTAGTGAAATAAAGACAAAAATTTTACGAGTATTCCGAAACTTAGAATTGAGAGGAAAATGGATACACCTGTGCCATTTCAAATGAATCGAGCGATGTCATTCAAAGCCTCTTACCACTGGTTGCAATAATCACACTGACCCTAACCAGGTAATCCATACCTATTAACATGGCTCAGTCTAATTGTCAATGATTTCATGAACTGATGCCACGTTTTGGTTTGACCACCCCTCGCTTTCTTCCAACTTACTCCTATACCAGAAAACATCGCCCGTCGAGGTATGGAGTGGTTGGGGATACGTGACACATGTCCCGACTACCTCAGTCGATAGAGATTTACTACCTCCGATCGATTTCCCATCTTTACCTAATATACTATCCCTAACACAGACATTACTTACTCAGTGATCCGAAGACACCTATGATCGAATATTAGTAACCTAAAATTGTCTTCTGTGTGTAATGGCCACGTTTCGCAGTCATAACGCAGAACAGAGCGAACTGCTCCGCATCAAACTCGCCCTTTATTTGTAAAACATATCTCACCTATTCCACAAATGATGCAAGTTGCCAAAAGCCAATCGAACCTTTTCAATCCCTGCCGAGATTTAGTCAGACACCCGACCACCAGTACTGATACGTTCAACTACTTCAGTCCCTATCATTAATTCAGGCGATGACGCAAGCCAATCCTAATGTAAGATTTTACATTTGGAGGGGGAGAACCACATATCAAACGTACTTGCGTTGTTATTCAAGTTGATCAAACCGCATCTTGTCATCGTCTTCAAATAGAACTATATCATCTGCGCATTCGAAGTCAACAAGTAAATCTCTTGGTAGATGAATCTTTGAAAAGTTAGACTATAGAGTGTTATACCTAATAGCATATCTGTGATGTTAAATAGAAATGGGGAAAGCGAACAACCCCAACGAACACCAATTTAAGTAACTAATTCCGATAACATTTCTCCATAAGCTCTGAATCGACCAGTAGTGTTCGAGTAGAGTGAGCCTGTCCAAGGTTTATGTACTTATTTGGTACACCGTTGAATGACAAACACTGCCACAGAACCTGACGGTCAACGGAGTCAATCACCACCTTAAGGTCACGGAATACAACTACTGTTAAATGTCGGAAAGTATGTCTACGTTCCAGAACCTAGCAAAGAGTAAGTATTTGGTCTGCATCCGCGTTCAGGTCTGAGACCAGCCTGGTTTTCTCTTCATGAGCTCTAGTTGGACGTCGAAGTATTATTGAGGCTAAGAGTTTTAAACACTGTATTATTAGTATATGGTTATGGAGATTGGGTTGAAGGCGTTTCAATATAATAGTTCACAACTTTCAATTATCTGATAGTTGTCAGCTTGGGTTATGTTTGTTGTTACTCTTGCGCAGGCGAAATGCCGACTCGTTCTTTTAGAGTCATTTATTCGACTTTATTCATTGTACTGTGCTTTGTTTATTCCGCAGCCGTGTGATATTGAAGTGAAAATCGCCGATTTGGGTAATGCATGCTGGACTTACCGTCATTTTACTGAGGATATTCAAACTAGACAGTATCGAGCCTTGGAGGTTCTCATTGGCTCCGAATATGGACCACCCGCTGATATTTGGAGTACGGCTTGTATGGTATGTGTTTTTTATGTTTCGTCTAAATAAAGATTTATATCAGTTCTTTTTAATAACTCACTATACAAGTTACATAGCATTTCAGACGTACTCGTTTCTGCTCATTACCGGTACATTGAATCTGTACAAAAGTACTCGATACACTTGTGGCAATATGACGAACTTGGGTGTAACTTCTGTGATTAAATTCAAATTTTACCAAACAACCAGTTTTCAATTTATTCAAATACTCTAAATCATCACTATACCCACAACACAATTACATTTAAATAAGAAAGAAAGATTAGTTCAGCGAAGAGTTCTCTTTTCGGCGAATTCATTTTCAAAGCTGTACAATCGCAAATATATATACTTATTTATACAGGGTGATAATAATACTGATAATAAACTTCTGTTATACATGGTGACAGTGAGGTTAAATAAACAAAGGTATTAGAAAAAAATTTTTTTTCTTTTTTTAAAAACAAGGAAAGTTTAATAGATAATGGCTTAGATAGTCATCGGGTAAGAGTAGCTCAGCATGATAAAATAACATAAAATGTTGAAACAGAGATGAAATGTAATCGGAATGATCGTTGAAATAAAAACAAACCGGTTGGGGGTACAAGATTTGAAGGGAAGATGGAAGGTGAAGCAGGTGGCTGTAAAAGACCAAGAGTAATGAGAAAGAGAAAAAAGAGAAAAAATTTTAATACATTAAGACCACGGTAAAAGAAGAGGTTGTGCCAGTCTCTTTTGTACACATAATTCTGGTTTTTCAAAATGTATGGCTATTGCCTCGGCAATGCAAAGGAGATGTAGTCTAATTATCTTAGGAAGGCTTCTACTTACCTTGTAGATGACTTTGAACGCAGAGTCTGTCTTGATTGAGTGACCTGTGTTCACAAGGTGTTCGATTATAGAACTTCTTATTGAACCGCTGCCTCCTCTTCTTAGCCACGCCGGACAATGTTCTTGAATTCTTTTGGATAAAGTACGCATCGAACGACCTATATACCTAGCTCCACAAGAGCAGGTAAATTGGTAAATGCACATTGAATTGGTCAGATGCGATAATTTATCTTTCAGATTACTGGCGAACAATGATCGGCTGGAGAATAATATTCGCAATGTTGCTGCGAAAAATGTTCTTTTTAAAGAATCTGAAATTCTCCTTTTTAAGATATGTGCGGCTCTATCGCCTTTGAAGTCGATGTTCATGTATAGAATTTTCTTTTCTACTGCAGTGGTTTGTGGTCTTGGCATTTTCGGTTTCATGTTCTTATCAACGAATATAGAAGGATATCCGTTTTTGATAAGTATCTCTTTTAAAAAACTCAATTCTTCCTCTACGACCTCAGGGCTACAGATTCTTCGCAGAATTTTATCCCCAAAGATAAGGCTTCTAATTGTACATTTGTCAACGATATTGAAGAATGATTAAACACATATCTCTCAGGGTTGTTAGGAAAGTTGTGCTGTGTTTCTGTAGTTTTTAAACTTTTAGTGAGATCTGATATTAAGTTTTTTGTGCGTTTGTTGATAACTGTGGTAACATAATCGGTGAAAAGATTGTGTTCGTTAGGTGATAATTCATATAATACAGGAGATCTTTGTGAAATGTTGAATTCCAATAACGGAATGCGAGGACGAATAGAGTCAATAACATTTTGTGCATGGCGTTTAAGAGATTTCGAGTTTGGATAAATATGGTTTCTTCGGAGAATTTTCCAGTAGTATTTAGGATATTTGTGCATTTTAACGCAATCGTTAAGAAAGGTAATCTTCGCATTCACTTCCGCAAGTTTGACAGAAAAACGCAGAAACTCATTAAGTTCCTTTACTGTCGAAGGGTCCTTGGAATTTTTTAATAAACGGAATACACCCATTATGACATTAAATAAGAAAGAAAGATTAGTTCAGCGAAGAGTTCTCTTTTCGGCGAATTCATTTTCAAAGCTGTACAATCGCAAATATATATACTTATTTATACAGGGTTATCATCAAACTGAAATATTATGTAAACTTGTGGGAAGATTTGCAGTATCACTTGGGAGAATGATCTTTTTACACATATTCCAATGTATAGACAGAATGTAATCAAAAACAAATACATTTCTGATTCAAGACAAAAATTATTTTTCTTATATTTATTGTTCTAAAGATGACGTACTATTTCAAGGCGAAACATAACGTCACGTGGCTGTCCATCGTGACTGGATTAAATCATAGTATACAACAATATTCTGGCAACAGGAATGGTCAGCTGATATATATATATATATATATATATATATATATATATATATATATATATATATAACGGCTTACCAAAACCCATTATTAGGTCAGGGATTCAAGTCTATTTTAAAGTATCAGCAGGTTTTTAAGGCATCACAGATATAAATAATTGAAAGGGCCGTCACAGGTTCTCCCAATTCTATTCAGTTCAGGTTATCCATATGATTCAAGTGAACCGTCAACTACATCATCGACTAATAACATTAAGTCACATTCCTGCCGTAAGGTTACAACGTAAAGTGACCGCCATACTTAATTCAATGATTACATGCTCAGTATATGCGAATTATCTCGTAATACATCTAATTTCTATTGCATATATCTCACAAATTGCTAGGACTGTAAAGTTTTGCACTTTTTAAATTTATCCTCTAAAATCAATAATTACGATCAGCGTGGTATCAGCGATCATAAGCAAATATTATTTAAGCCTTTCAAATTCTCGCTATCGAATCTAATCCATCCTTTTTTTTCATCAAATAATCAACTTAATGTATTCTATCCGTGTTCTACTAATCAAACTAACAATTCAATATAGTTTATATCCTTGATTGATTTGCGTCAACCATCTTGTGGAAATTTTGCTGTAAGTCAAATATCCATCAAATCAGAAAGAAGACCCTTAGATATTCCAGAAAGCCTTTGCCATTACAAGAGTTGATTATGTGTGCATCCAGTTTGCACCGAAAACTCTCAATCCGTAAATATTGCAATCAAAAAAAATATATATCAATACATGCCACAGATAGTAAATATCTCGTATCTGATGTTAACACTGATTTCAATTTTGTTCTCTGTCAACGTACGTACAAAGATCTACGTTGTTACTGACTGACTGACTTTGTCACCCAGTTTAATTACAGTTGACTTCTCAATAGACTATATTGATATATAATACTTCAATTACCTTTTTCTATTATAGGCTTTTGAATTGGCTACCGGTGATTACCTTTTCGAACCTCATTCTGGCGAAGATTATACACGAGATGAGGACCATCTAGCACATATCATTGAATTATTAGGCCCCATACCTAGAAATATTGCTCTTTCAGGAAAATACTCTCGTGAGTATTTCGATAAACGAGGTACGTTAATGAATTCTCTTTGCCAAACTTAAAAATAGTTTAGTATCAATATGTATTTATTTTAACTGCTCACTTTAGATTCAACCTGTTCTTAACAAAAATGAAAAAGTTCACATAATTATTTAGTCATTACCGTTTCAGTTATCCATTAAGACGATGGATTAGTGTTTAAAGCACTTTGTTTTCAGTTATCAAGTCACAATACCTACTTCTGTTTGAACAACCGCATAGTATTACTAACCTCCACAGACAAACAGTGGGATTAAAAACCGAGTACATTATTCTTTGCTTGGTCGATAAGTTACATTAATCAGTACTTTTAAGTAAACCATGAGGTTATTATCTAATTACACAAAAGAATAAAGGTTTGTTTAGTTTTATTTTGTGTTCTTGTCAAAGGTTAACATAAAAATTGAAATCACAATATGAACTTTCCTTTGATTCCAATCATCAGCTTGTTTACGTCATATACATCGCTTGAAACCTTGGAATTTATTTAATGTCCTCACTGAGAAATATGATTGGCCACCAAGCGAAGCGGCTCTTTTCACCAGTTTTCTGGAACCAATGCTCGCGTATGATCCTAATAAAAGAGCGTCCGCGTGGGATTGTTTACAACATTCCTGGATAACTGGTCAACCGTATTCTCCATCAGTTGAGGAAGGCCTACCAAATCATATCCCATTTGGAGTGAATATACCAGATCCATTGATGGGTGACGTTTTATCTAATCCTAGTACATATTACCATCCACATGTCAATCAACCAAATATTGTAGATCCCGCAAACACTGCTGGCTTGTGTTACAGTCAACACCCACACTTAAAAAAGCAATACCCGACAGTTCATTGCGTTGCTCCACAATCTAGAAACAGTCGTTCTGTCAACTACATACCACCTGAACTATCTTTCAGTGGAAATGTCAACCCATCTGAATATCACTTATCTTATGGTTCCGAAATGGTTGTGGGTGGGGAAAGTGTGCCGAATCGTAGTATGTGTGTACCAGATTCTCACTTTCAACCGTGGTCCTCAAAACTCATGGGCTCAAAACGACTAGATGTTGTCAGCAATGTGGACGGCACAATAAATTTAGATGTAAGTTTTTTTTACCCCCCCCCCCTGATGTATTTCTAGTTTATACTTAACGTTGAACAGGATTCAACCATTTTCATTGAATGCCGATTTATTTCGTTCGCCTAATCTGTAATCCTAAACCTTGATATTATCCACATGGAGGTTCTATTGACTACAATGGTCATTTTATCCAAGTTAATAGAATAAAATTACATATTTACCAATTCTCACAGCTTATGACGCAAATTAAATAACTGCCTGTAAATAAATGCCTAGTATAATGGGCTGTTGAAAGTGGTTTATGAAAGTAGGAGATATACATGTATAATCATAAGAGGCTTCAAAACATTGCTCAATTATAATAGGACCACTACGTAAATAATCCTGAGGTGAAATGTAAGGGTATCTTGTAAAAACGTACCAGTTGATAAAGTTGTTCATCCTCATCTCAGGCACCTAGTACCTGTGTTACATGTTTAGCCATCTACTATGACGCGTATTAATGGCTATCGTAGGCACTGGTTTGATGAAGGTTCGAGAAACTAAGTAGAAATGTAGAACCAGTTTTGAAGTTACATTGAGACATGAGGATAGGTTCATAGTTCTCAGGTAAGATCCCACCGAAACCGGGATCAAGATTCGTCCCAATTGGCGTAGCTAGGTTCGTTGTTTATGTCCCAAATCTGTTATTCCACACGTTCCATACCCTTTCTAATTTCATTCGTTCCCATATTTTTGTGTTTAATATTTTACAATCATGGGTATTACCATTATCTTGACACCGCTCCTAATCTCGTTAACCCCCTCTCTCCGCGCTGTTATGAAATGTGGTCACTTACACTAATGGATGCCAATACCAGGACATATTCTGTTGATTACTGGACTGTTTGTTCTACACATGTATTCCTTGCTTAAAAGCTTATATCTACAGAAGTCGAAGAAATCATATTGTAAAATATTGTTAATGAGACAGTTCGGGACTGATAAACAACTCTTAGTAAGTTGTTTTAGTATTATTTATTGAAACGTTTGAATAATTCATTACCCCCAGTAAGACAGTCAAAATAGATTTAGAGAAGCCACACTGAATGATTTTTTGATTCAGTGTTTTAATGTCGATCTTAAAAGTATAACATTCATACTGTTTTCTTTAAATTTTACACAGTTAAGATAATGTTCTAACTGTAATCGTTGTATATTTTTCAGACACGTTCAGATATACTAAAAAAAGGAATATGATAATCGGTTGCTACTATTTTTATATATAAAAATATTTCGTCCCATTGATCGAATACTTTTGTTTCACTGTACTTGAAAAAAACTTAGTATTTACGTAAATCCATGTTTACACCTATTAATTTCAATGACTTCATTGAATCGAAAGTATATAGAAAGTTCAGATATACTCCTATACTTCCTACAAGAAATCACCATTTATTTGATTGTTCAGATCTTTGTTTGACAGCAAACCAGTCATTCCATGCGTTTATTTCCATGAATATATTATTCTTTTGTCTAAATCCATGTCACTAGATGTGTCCGTTTTTTCCCTTTCTTTTACAAGCCTGTTCATGTTGGAAATTTCATACACAGTCTACCAGATCTCAGTCCTGCTCCTAGCGACGACGATTATGACGAAGAAGATGACGATGACGACGACGAGGATGATGATGATGAGACCAAAGAAGGTGAAGAAGATGAGGATGAAAGCGGAGATGATGAGGATCCTCGGATGCATTCGTTACACCATCATCATCGTCAGCATCATCATCATTCGCACTATTATGGACATCCATCTAACACATCATCTGTTTATCAATTTTTGGATCCCCCTCATATAATCCCAGTAGAATCTTCTGATCATTCTCATTATGCTGACCCTTTAGCTATGGCAGTAGCTGCTGGACTGCCACCTAGTAAAGCTGCTATACTAGCTTATGCAGCACAAGCTCTTGGACCAGATACTGTTTGGGCTGGTTTAGCTGCAGCAAAAAAACGTCAACAACAACAGCAAGCGCAACCAATGAATAATACAGAAGAGACAACTTCCGATTCACTTACTAATAATGATCATGTAATATTAACTACCTCAACTATAAAAACTGATGATGATGGTACACCGCGTAACACTGATTCGTTGCAACAACAAAAGAAAGAAATAGATAATGAATTACATAACAGTGGACTTGATGTAGAAGATGTATCTAATTATTTCTCAACTTCACTTGAAGTACGTTCTGCTACAAGTTCTACAACCGAAGATATATCTAATACCCCCGACTATGTGAATAATATATCAGATATAAGGAATTTTGATTCTGAATTACAACGTACAGTGAGTGAAAATATCACTCATCAATATACTGAACCGACAGAAACACTTACAGAAGCTTAGTTTTCAAATTCCAATTTATCTGATCTCTATCTCCTGTTTTGTGAGAACCACCTATAGGCTTTCATTTTATTACTCTTATCTTAAAGCATATTCACTACTATCTCATAAAACAAAACAATGACGTTTGTAATTTGGATGTTCTTGTTAGAAAAAGATTTTCATCTTATTTAATGATGTCTATTATTATTATTATCATCATCATCATATTGATATCAGTAAATTGAAAGTTTGATGAACACATTCACTAAGTAGTAATGGTGGTGTATCTGCCAATTATGTCTTCTTTTTTGTTTTTAGTTTACATTCATTATTTCCCTCGACATGTGGTTGGTTTTTATACATCACATATAACAAACAGCCTCGTAAACTTTCTCTTATATATATATATATATATATATATATATATATATATATATATATATATATATATATATATATGCATACAAAGATGTTTCAATGTACTTTTCGCTTTTATCTAATCCAACATATCTACCCTCTCTCATAATTTATTTGAAATATATTGCACCAAGATCAGATATAAAACCTGATATATATATATATATATATATATATAGGTTTTACTAACTACTGTACTATTCTTGTCAATAATTTTGTCATTTCTCTTCATTTTTCCCTTCATGTACAACAACCTGGACCTCTAATTGTTTTAACATTGCGAAATTTCCAGTATTTGTAGACATTTCTATCGGCATAACCTAGGCCTTATCTGTACCGATATATATATAATTCTCATTTAGGTTAATCATTTTGATCCTAAACAAGAAAATACCCTTTGCATATTTCATCGTTACAAAGCACCGCCCCACCCTTTTAACAGTCCAATTGTACGTTTTAGTTGCTCAAATTCTTTCTAGCAACTTCATGCGGACTGTATTGTAAACTATACTCTTGTCATTAGTTTTTTTGTGTGCTTCCATTTTCACAAAAATCGTTTTTTGTTTGCGCGCGTCTGTATATCTATGAACATATAGCCACTGCTGCGCATGCCGTCCCGTCTATTGTGTTATCGAGCGAGAGAGAGGCAGTCAGTTCTGTTTTGGAAACTTTTAAGATTTAACAACTATTTGCTAAAAAAGATTATTACTATTATCATCACTATCAATACTATCACTAACTGACAGCTGATATCATTTTCTTTTTTTCATTATTCCTATTTCTGCAAAACCGCTGAACTATTCATATTTCAACATTAGAAGACTTACTCAAATAGTCATGTTATGCATTTTGAAATTATGTGATTTGTTGAACATTACACTAAAACTAATGTCATAAATAGAAAATATGTGATCTAATGCCAATTTATGCGACTCGTGTTTATACTTTGTTCTTGTTGTAAGTAAATATTCATATGAATGCGAAAATGCCTTAATTCCACTGCTATTTCATTTCTTTATTAATCCATACAATAAACAACCAATGATAGTAGTGGAACTTATTATAAACTATTTGAAAATAATTGGTCAGTTTTTGTTCCTAATTTTCACACATATATATACTAAGTTATGCACATACACGAGTACTCATGTTCCACCATTTGTTCCATGTTTGAAATCGTGTTATATTGCCGGAAAAATTGATGATAAATATGACTTCGAAATTTGTTAAGTTAGGTGTAATTGTTTTTTTCTTGTGTGCGTGTATCTGTGTACCTACATTATCGACTATCCTTAAACAGATGTTCAAACGAATTCGGTTGTACAATTTACTTGGTCATAAGATTTCATGATAACTGATAACAACTCTGTTGCCATTCAAGGCTTCGTGATTTGTTTTGTTTTCTTTGTTGATTTTGTGTGTGTTTGCTCTATCTTAACTAGTCAATTGTTACCCTAATAACTATACTCCAATCAAATTGGTTCGATCATTAAAATACGTCATTTCCAACTGTGCAAGAAATAGATACGTAAATCTGTCTTCTTTTTATGAATCTGGTTTCATGGGAATACTTATTTTTTTAGTGGATAATGGATACATGTTCAAGTTCAAACCTGGTTATTGTTATCAGAAAAAATGGATTTATATTGTGAATCCTTTTAAAGTGGTAACGGATGTTTAGTTCTATACTACGTTTATTCTGCTGTCTTTGGACGGAATATATATAATCTATAATTATAACATGATCAATAAAGCCATCACATCGCGCTTGATCAGAAATAAAATTAATTCAGCTAAATCGCCGAGTACGCGCTTGTAACCTGGACGTAAAACAACTTTTACTGTAAAGGCAAATAATGTTACTTATTTAGTTTCCCCTGACATTCCTCGTAAAGGAGTGTCAGCCCCCCCCCAACAACATACTCTACAGGACCCTGTTCTAGACAGTCCTTTCCAGCTGCTATTTGTCCTGATGTCCTCTTCCCCTTCCGGAGGCCGTGTGTCGTTCGGTCATCCTCTTTTCCGTTTCACTTCAACATCCACTATCTCCGTTTTTGTTCAACTTCTTCATAGACCTACTGCTGGAAATAACATTCTCGTCGACTGAACTCTCGGCCATTGATCTCCTTCCAGGAGGTCCACTTATGAACTAGAATACGCAGATGACATAGTCTTGTTAGGTGAAGACCCTGATAACATTCAGTCTTTTGATAGCACTGATCAACAATGCCAGGGTGTTTGGGGTGCGTTTCTTCCCATCTAAATGCAAGTTGTTGTCTCAGGGCTGGCCTGCGTCAACACCTGAATTACGGATAGGGAGTGAAGTAGTCGAACGTGTCGACAACGTCACTCATCTTGGAAGTCTGATCAGCCCTAATGGGTTGGTTTCTGGCGAAATTTCTACACGAATTCAAAAAAACTCGTTTGACTTTTGCTGACTTGTATCACCTATGGCGAAGGCGAGATATCCATCTATCAATGGAGGGACGAGTATACTGAGCAGTAGTTCATTCTGTTTTACTTTATGGCTGCGAAGCGTGGCCATTAATAGTAGACGATACTCGTAAGTTACTAGTTTTTGATCGCAGATATCTTAGAAATATTGCTCGCACAAAGTCACTAACGTCAAGTCTTAGCCATGTTGGTAGATGCAAACTACTTGGTCGGGATCTGCGTGAATGTTTTAACCTATGGTTGGAGACTTGGTGACATGGCTGAGAATCGATTACAATGACGTTTGTGTCTACACTCTTTGTCTTCTCCTAGACCGTGAATTTAAAATTGCTTTATATTTCTTTATACGAGCTAATTTTTTCTCCCTGTACTATATCCATGTACACAATCTTTTATATATTACTGCCATTGAAGTAAGTACTTCCATAAATTTGGTGTTCATCTTGTGCTAATGAAATTTGGAAACGTGGACCGATGTATGTATGTGCCTTGTCCTATGTTGTAACTGACTTGTGAGTTAATGCTTGTTTTGAGATGCTGTTTGGTGATTCCCACAATGTATATCCCAACGCCTCCACTGTCTTTTAATTTCCTCTTCATCTAGAAGCTGGTTTGTTCTCTCCCACAGTAGGTTGTTGCTGATGGTATCCAGCCAACGGTTATTTCGCATTCTGTGTAAAGAATTGTTTATAAATTCTTGTACCTTCTTGATGGTTGTGCTAGTTTTCATAGTTTAGCTCCGTACAGTCGAACTATCTTGACTTTAGTATTAAAGATTCTCATTTTGATGTTGGCCTGCAAACAGTTGTTATGGGTTTTATAATGTCTCCAACTGTAGGAATGTTGTTCTTGGTTTACTGATTCTCGCCTTCAGTTCTGTATCGTGTAGTTGCATACAAGCTGTGCACTGTATTCATTGCTTCCCCTGCATGAGGTTTTTTCAACTCATTCAACTACTAAAAGAAAGAAATGTCGAGAGTAATCAGCCCTGTCTGATACCCATCCTCAATTAGAATGCATATCAGTTGTCCTTCGTGCACGACTGCGGAGTGGTCTGTTTTGTATGCTACTTATATTGACAGACATAAGTAGTATGTAACCAGTCCGAATTGGATAACGTAGGAGCAGAAGGCTAAGAAGATACGGATGGGATTGTGAACTTAAAGAATCATACAAAATGTGAAGAATGAATAACGGAAATTTGCGAATGAAGTATTCACTTTATGGTTCGTATATGCTCTGTACTTTTGTAATAAAACGCAATTGCTTATCCCTACCTCTGTTGTTGTTCACAACAGTCCGTCTTATGAATATTGTATGACGTTCATAATCCTCTATAAGTTTTCCTATCCATACCGCCAAACGCCTTACCATAGTCAAGAAAGTTTGACGAATTCCATTCACGTGATTGTTCAACGATGATCCGTAATGTCGCCTTTTGGACTGTGCACAACCGATCCTTACGGAATCCTGCCTGTTACTCTCGAAACTGGGCATCTACCGAACCTTCCATCCGGTTCAGCAACGCTGTTGAAAACGTTTGCTCAGATCGTGTTTCTTTGGTATCCCGGTGAGGTGTGTTTCCAGTCCGTCGGCACGTGTTCCACCTCCCAAATCTTCATGAGTAGAACATGGAGCATGTTTGCATTTATTGATATGTTTGACTATAGTGCTTCCGTCGGTATATTGTCAGGTCTCTGCTTTCCCGCCCTTGATTTATCTGATGTCCATCCTGATTTATTCGATTGTTGGTGCGGTGATATCTATAGGAAGGTCTGTGTGTGCAGCTTCGATGTGCGGTGGGTTTAGTGTAGTTGGTCTATTCAGGAGTTCCTCAAAGTGTTCCACCCATCTGTTCTTCTGTTTTTGAATCTCGATGATTGGCCTGCCTTCTTT